TTAATTTCTTATTCAGAAGGAGCACCAACTACGTTTTGTTTCATTATGCTTTTTAGTACATTGTAATATCAATGTTTGATCCCAGGTTTTCTGGAAAATATTCATCCTACTAGTCAGGGCAACTAGGGTAATAAGAAAACTGAAATTGAGAAAGACTGTAAGAGATATAGCTTAGAGAGTAGACTGTAGAAAACCAACCTGTATTGGTTGTTTTCCAAAAAGAGAGAGCAATGACTAAATAAACAGGGTCAAAGGATTAGTATAGAAGAAAGTTTTTGATCCCCACCTTCCATAAAAGAGACCAGGGATAGCCTAGTGTTTGTTAAATTCCAATAAAATGAATGTGGGAAGACTGAGATGCTTACAAGAGATGCGGAGTGGGAGTGAGGGGATGGTGTCAAATGCATTAATTTCAAGGTATCTAGGGAAAGTATTAAAAACATAAAACAAACAAGCAAAGTGTTAAGCACGTTATTCACAAATGAATAAAAAGTTCGGTTAAAAATTCTCTCTGCTGCAGAAATTAGTTGAATTTACAAAGAATTTAGAGAAAAGCTAGTTATACGGAAGATAACAGGGCATATTTTCAAGAATAAGACACAATTAAATTTAAAAGCCCCAAATCACTATATTGTCCACTGTTTTTTTTAATGGTACATTAGTATGTTAGATAGCAACTGCCAGAATATTCTGCTGGTTTAAAATGTATTTTTTTGCTCACTAGTCTGCACTCTGGAGTTTGTAGTGTTGCATGGGGCCACCTGAGATTGCCACTAGGGTACCAGCTGAGTTCAAAACTGCTCCATGTATCTCATTCTGAAGCCAGTGAAGGAGCAAAGATGCCTTGGGATATACTCTCATGTGATGGCAGGAGCCCAAGAGGGCAGAGCAACTGAGGAAAAACCTATGTGTGGATTACATCTACTAAAATCCCTTTGGCAAAGAATATCATTTGCTAAAGGCCCAAATCAAAGAGAAATCCATTCGTCCCATCATAATACCATGACATGTTGACTTTAGAGAAGTAAAAACTGAGGCTAACAATTCAGCCAACAACTTTCTTATTGACATCAAGTGGTATAGACTACATGGAAATAAATTTACAATGGAAAAATGTATATATAATTCACAACTATTATATCCTTGGTTATGCTGACTTACTGTGTGTATGTAAGACTAAGTATTTATACATCAATATGGTATTCCCAATAATGTAAATCAAATTTATAGTGGATTATTACATGCATTCTCCACAAATAAGCACAAACAAAAAATATTTTCTAATTTTCCCCTTTCAAGTTATCCTAGAAATATTTTAAATATCATTAATTTCATAATAGAATATAGTGACCTGCAAACAGTAGCTGCTTAATAAAGGTTATTACATAAACTCTTGTGCTAAATTGAAGGAAATTTATACTTAACCCTGTTAGCTGAATTAATTCAGTATCAAATTGAGTAAAATTTTAACCTAAACTTTTGTTTGACAGTCATAAAATTCTATATCAAGTCTTGAAAACTATGAATAGTCTGCTATTCGTTATTTGTAGTTTAGCAATAACTAAAAATCTAGAGGTTTTAAAAATATGCATTAAACTATTTGGGGATTGTAAGTATTCCTATCTCCTCTTAAGGTTTTATGGCTATAACAAAATATCTAAGGCTGAGTACTTTAAAATAGCCAGGCATTCATAGCTCAAACTTGTAATCCTAGATACTCAGGGTATGAGATCTGAGACTTCCAGTTTGAAGCCAGCTCAATCGGAAGAACTGGTGAGGGTGTTATGTCCAGTTAACCAAAAGAAAAAGAAAAAAAAAAAAAGAAAAAAGCTGGAAGTAGAGCTGTGGCTCAAATAGTAGAGTGTAAGCCTTAAGCAAAACAGCTAAGGGACAGCCAGGTCCTGATTTTCCTAGCAATGGCACACATACTCTAAATGAATAAATGAATGCTCCTAAGGCTTGGTACATAATAATGTATTTTGGTGACAATGTTGAAGGTCAGGTGGCCCCATCTGTATGGCCTCTGGTGAGAACTCCTTGAGAACATCAGAAACAGTGAATGGCATTAGGAAGAGTTTATATAGGGAGCCAAATAGAAGAGGAATTCAGAGGTCAGCTTGCTCCTTTCATAATGGCCCACTCTCACAGAAACTAACTAGTGTCCCTTCTTATGACAGCATTCCTAATAATTCAGCCACCTTCCATTATGCTAACAGGTTCTACTACTTATCAACACTGCCACAAAGAGAACTAAGCTTTGAGCACATGAAACTTCAAATCATACTGAATACATAATATTGCATGTGACCATCTTTAAATAAAATTGATGCATCTAATCTATTTACTGAAGTAAAATGTTAAAAATAATATATATTATGCTGTTAAGTGAGGATTAATTTGGGTTTCTATAAATATCCTTTACTGTATTCTGTACTACTATACTATCTATAATTGAATTTTCTTTATTTTATCATTATTAATAATTTAAAATTTTCTAAAATGTTATATACAGTAAAATATATTTTATATTTAATTTTTCCTTAGGAAGAAAACCTAACATTTTAGCATAATTACAAATTATAAAGATAAAATTATGCTGAGCCATGAAAAGGTGAGATCATACAGTAAATATGAATATTTTTGTCACTTAATATCCATTTCTAACACAAACTTTAAAACATTCTAGTTCTTATATTGTCTTCACCACTCTAGATCAACACTATTGTCTTTTTCCTTGGCTGCTTTCAATAACCTACTAAAGAAAGAAAGTTTCCACCCTTGTCCCATGGAGAAGACAGCTTTACTCCTTCTAAACTATCAATGGCATCATATAAGTGCTCTCAAGAAAACCTAAAGGTGGTCCATCATTATTCATCTTGCCCTTGAGATTTAACTGTGATTCTCCTTTCTACTTCTATTTGCTATCATTTCTGGCCTTGCTTGTGGCTACCTGTACTTGTTAATAGGGCCATGGGCTTAGTACCACTCTACCTGGAAAACTTTTCAAGATAAACATGGCTTACCCACCTACTTTCTTGGGGATCTCTTCAATGGTCATTTCTTCAGAGAGAACTTTAGAAGCTAATTTTGAAAAACTAACTTCATTACTTTCAGCTTTAAGAATTAATTATGTCATTATCTGATAGTACATTATGTTTGCCTCATAACTTGCATCAGTGTATATTTTTAATCTGCTGTCTTCTACAACTATCATGTCACTTCTAACAATGTAGGGATTTTGTCTGGCCTATGTACTCTCATTTCTTAAAACACAAAATAAGTATTCAACAAACACTTTTCAATTAAAATTCTGTATGGATATATCACTTTTTATTTTAGTAACATATTATACAAAATTTCACTGTGATATTTCCATACCTTCTCTAATTCATCCCTCTTTCTTGTCCTCTCATTTTCCAGTTTTAAATGGGTTTAGTTATTCTATTTTTATATGTGTGTACAGAGTACTTCATCATAGTCACCTCATTACCCTCTCCTCTTGTCCTCCTTTCTAAATGTCTTCTTCATACACTTCTTTCATGTTTCTACTTGTTTTTATTTATTATAAATCCTATTTGCACATTTACAATACTGATTTATATTCTAGCCGTTAAAAATCTAGTTTCTACATATTTATAATTTGCTGTTTTCATTACTATGCTTTTATTGTTTTCATTTATCAAACAGAAATTTGAAGTTTATATAGTCCAAATAATAGTAATATTGCTCTAATTCCCTAAATGGCTTTTAGCTTAAGTTACTAGGCTAGAAACTCTTCCAATCCACTGCAGTACTGGATTTCTTATTTAATGAAAAAAACAGTGACTTTCCCTTAACTGGAAACCCAAATGTTCTTCTTTAAATAGTTAATTCTTCACTGATGAAGGTATGAAATTTTTGTTCCATGTTTTTGTTTTAAGAGTTCCCCATCCCCTTTTCTCCCATCTGTCTCTTCTTAAAACTCAAACAAGCTTACTAAAGTACGTTTAGGAACTAAGCCAACCCCATCCTTATACTACAAAGATTCTTAAAGGACAGAGACAATTTTTATTGTCATACTCAGTAATTAATTTTATATGCTATCCAATAATGCATTGCAAGTGCTCCAGTAACACTACACACACTTATCAAGAGATCAAAAGACAACACAACCCAAGAATGCCAATACATTCAAACCTTGAGTATCACTTTAAATAAAAGTTCAGGCCTGGAAGATTGAGAACAGTATGTCAGCGTTCTTTTCTGGAAGCCCTCGGAATTCTAAGTGATCAGTCGGTAAGAAGAGACACAGGAAGAACCCATGCAAGACTTAGTTAGACCTGGGGAGACCCTCTCTCCCTCAAGAGTCCATGGAGCTAACGAAAGCAGGTAGTAGGGAACTCCATAGGCGTTCTCGCGGATGTTGTTCAGGGGGGGAGGGGGACGATTTTGATTGACAAGGCTTAATTTAAATACCATCCACTATTTTGATGCATCAGGAAAGAAAATAAGACTGTAAACCTTATGACTAGCTTTGCTGCTTCCAAAAAAAAAAAAAAAGTGAAACTCTTCCTGAATCGCAGAGGGTAGTGGGTGGGTTTCTGTCTCCCCCATCTTTTACTTGAACTTGACCGAAGTTTAAGTAAGCTCTGGTGGTCCAAGGTACCTATGTGTTCACTGAGGGGTTAGGGACTCAGGTGGATTTCTACTCAAAACGCTAACAGGGGGAGCCAGAACTAGATGGAACCAACACCACACACTTTGCCTTCCCCCAGCACCCCGGGGTGGGTGGGACCCCACTCGAGTGGAAAAGGTAGATGTGGGGCCTGGGTGTGAGGCCTGGGTGTGGGGCCTAGGTGTGGGGCCTGGGTGTGGCGCCCGCGAACCAGGCCTGGGTCTCAGGGGTCAGATCTACCGGGGCATTTTCTCCGGTGAAGAAACATCTTCGTTTGACCTCTTCCACCCAGGCCACACGTCTTTGGTAGTGTGTATTCCCGTCAATCCCCTAATCCTCTTCTCACCTCCCCAAAGCTCTCAGTTTCAAGGACCCGCCATCCACTGCCGCCGCGTCTCCTTAGCAACCGCGCACGAAAAGCTGCCGGAAGCAACTGCGGTCACGTGCTCCCACCCCTTCCGGGTTCCCATCGTGACTTCCGGTTGTCAGACTCTTCCCTAGACGCGGCGCTAGCGGCCGTGGAGGAGGAGCGGTGCGGCCCCTGAGCGGCCGTGGCCCCTGCGGTGGTGGTTGCGGTGGGCTGGGTGGTGGGCTTCGGGTGTTCCGGCCTCATCCTGCCCCCGCGGCGATGCATCCGCGGCGCCCGGATGGATTCGATGGCTTGGGCTACCGAGGCGGTGCCAGGGACGAGCCGGGTTTTGGCGGCGCTTTCCCAGCGAGGTCCTTCAGCTCAGGGTCGGACCTGGGCCCCTGGGTGACGACTCCCCCAGACATCCCGGGGAGCCGCAACCTGCACTGGGGCGAGAAGAGCCCGCCCTACGGCGTGCCCTCCACCTCCACCCCGTACGAGGGCCCCGCTGAGGACCCCTTCTCCGGCAGCGGCCCCGGCACTGGCGGCGGCGGCGGCGGCGGCGCGCGGGGCCAGAGCAGCGGTGAGGGACGCGGGGCCCAAGCCGGGTGGGAGGGGCTGCGCCGCGGCCTGGGGCCTGCGGACCCCGGAAACCGCGCCCACCGGAGGTCCGCCGGGGCCCCGCTCCGCCCACGGCGCTCCACACCTCTGCCCTCCTTTCGTCCTCTGTCCCCGGGAGGGCCTCCTCCTGCGTCTTCCCCACGCTCGCGTCTTCTCGGGGGATCGCCTCCAAGAGACAAAACAAAAGACAGCTGTAAGGGTGTCTTAGAGCGAGTGTTTTTAGGGGTGTTACCTCTAGCCCCCCACCCCTTGGCCTGAATCCAGATAGGAGGAAATTGAGTTATTTACTGTTTGTTGCCTGATTCACTTGGGCGTCTGTTCGCTCCAGTTAATGGATCCTTCCTTAGCTGTGTGTTCTGAAGAGGAGCTGGAGATACAGGAAGGGCCAAACTTGGGCTGAAACATTTTCTTTACCTGTGAGCCGTCGTTTTCTTGACTTCGTTGTAGAATGACTGCTAAGAGTTTTTACAGGTGTTAAAATTGTGCTAGCGCTAAGTGCACCGTGAAGGATACTTGGGTAAACAAAAGTACCCGTCTCCTTTACTCTTTTCATCATGGCTATTGTATCCGTTTTTAAGATTCTTTTTTTTTTTTTTGTCTAGTGTCATACAATTAGCTTTCTGACAGCTAACTAGTTTTCTCTTCCTTGAGTCATAGTGACTCCAGGAAAATACTGAAAATTTCTTACAAATTATGAATTCATTCAAAGTGCATGTGTAGTTGCTGCCTACGCACATTCTTACTCAGTCTTAGATACCTACGTTTTGATGGTTATAGTGAGAAGCTTATTAACAAAACTAGGGTTTCTTTGGAGATATTACCTACTGACTATACAAGGATAGGCAGGTGAGAAACATTCAAGATTAAGAGAGCCGCCTTAACACTTTCCAGGAAATATGAATGGATTTTTCGTTGACATTTGAAAAGGATTATGCACACAAAAAGGATAGAGAAGGTAAAAGATGAACCGAACCTTAATATGGCAAAAGAAGCTTTTTGTACATCTTTCAATATGAACACACAGCCTCCCAAGGAACATGTTTACATAGCCCATTCTCACGGAAAATATGATCATTGCTTCATTTGAAGGATTGGGGCTCGACTCTTGTGAACACTGATATTTAATATCTAGCCTCCTGTTAAGCTCACCATTAAGATTTTATGTTCTTAAGAGAAAGGCTCTTATGACACATATGAGACTTTTTCAAGCTGTTAACTTTTCCAGTAATATCAAGATACACTACTAGTAATAGAGTTGAATTAAAGGTCAACTCTTAAACTGGAGGTAATAGGGAAGAAGAGATTTGTATTTGCCCATTTAGAAGACTCTTCTATTTTGAGATGCTTTACTTGTAACTTGGATTAATAAAGTGTTTATTAAGTCAGGATTATCAGTCAGGGATCTCTATGGAAAAAAAAGAAGTTTGGTTTCAGTCAGAAGATGAAAACGGATAGTCCTTAGCCCTGTGCATATTCATTTGATGTAGCCCCTACAGTGTTTTTTTTTTTTTAACCATTTTTCAAGAAGTTATCATTATTAATATTGAAACGTGTTTTATAAACATAAACCTTTTTGAAAAAATCACAGCTTAGTAACCAGTGGCCCACCTTATGTGATGACAGTCATTTGGAGCTAATGAGTAGTTACACTTTTAAGAACGTCTGACAAATTGCTATAAAGCCCAAGTCCCAGAAGCCTTCATACATTCAAATTCTTAGCCCTAGCAGAGCTTGATGTTAAGTTTCAAATGATTAGCATGTTAATATAAGAAAAAAAGGTTTTGTTTGTATAGTAAGTCTAATATTGGTTATAAGTAATCTTACTCCTTTTATTTTAGAGCAGTTAAATAGATTTGCTGGATTTGGCATTGGACTTGCAAGGTAATCTTTAAAGATTAAGTTTTTATTGTTTTTTTCTCTAATTTGTGATTAATGATTGGTATTTCCTCCTTTAGCTTTTTATTTAGAGTAGCAGACTAAATATTAAATAATATGTTGCAAAAATTCATTTAAAATTTAAGGATAGAAACTTTGTTTCATAAATTCAGAGTTATTTTTATCATGCATGTTGTGGTATCTGATAGAATAAACTCAAATATAGTCTTATCTCCTTCCTCATCAATAACAGTAATTATGCCTTGAACCTTCTCTGAATTTTTGGATGCTACCAAGATACTTTGTGCCTTAGAATGTAGATTTTCTGTCATTAATTAACTAGCACATAGTGAACAGCTTCAATTTATTTTTTTTGTTCCTAATGATCATTTCATTTATTTTATTTTTTGCCAGTCTTGGGACTTGAATCCTGAGCTTCTTTTGCTCAAGACTAGCATTTTACCACTAGAGCTATAACACCAAAAGGCTTTTTGGGGGGTATTTTACTGGAGATAAGAGTCTCACAGACTTTTCTACTTGGGCTGGCTTTGAATCACAGTCTTCAGATCTCAGCCTCCTAAGTCGCTAGGATTAGGAGTATGAGCCACCCAGAGCTCAGCTAATGACCATTTTAAGAATAGCCCTCTTACTTATTGTGATCTTCATTGATTAGCAGTTTTATACATATTAGGCTTTTATAAGACTTGCATTTTATACCTGAATGTCTTTCGTTATTTTAAACATTTTAACCAAAGGAAAAGACCTTATTTGTCTAAATAAGCCTGAGGATGCTAGTATCAGTATACATAAAATATGTATGCTCCATTCTACTAATCTTTTTAGCTTCTCTGTGCTTAAAGCATTCATTTTATATAATAACTAATCTACATTTTGAATATATGTATGTCATTTATGTCATATTAAAGTTTTTACAATGAGGATCACGAAGAACAGATGGTTTGGCTAATAGATTTTGTTTATAGAACATTTTCTGAAAGAAATGGTATAGCAAGCTAAATGATGTGGTATTTCTCATAAATTCATAGAATTTCTATTTTTGTCTTTATAGATATTATATGGGTTTATCTTTACCAATTTATAGGTCTAATTTTCATTTTTATATTGAATTTTGTTATTGGTTGAATTATTTGTAAGCATTGAATTTTTTTAAGTCCCTTGAAATAATGCATGAGGCTTCAGACAAGAATTGGTTTCAGACATATGTGTTATAAATAAAATTTATATATAGTCAAATATGCATAAATTGTTTTATATAGTCTCTTTACAGAAAATGTACTGGCCCATCCTTGCATTGTTCTACGCCGCCAATGTCAGGTAAATGTTATTTCTGTTACCTCCTAAGATAGTCCTAACCATGATTGGAAGTGCAGAATTCAAATACATGAAATAAAAACTTACAACTGTTATTCTATGTGGAATGTTGCAAAATCTAATAGAAGACATTTTAGTCTCAAAACTTCTTTAAAACATTAAAAACTATTCAGAATCCCAAAGAACATTGGTTTATCTGGGTTATACCTGTTAATTTAGAATTTAAAAATGGAAAATTTTAATGTCTTTTTCGTTAAAGCAATAAAAATCATTAGATACTCCATAAGTAACTCATTTATGAAAAATAACTTCTACATTTTTGTAAATGTCTTCATTATAGGAGTTAGCAGCTTATCTCATGTATATCTCCAATGTCTTATAGTATGTTTTGTTTTTAAAATTATGTATTCATTTATTTATTTTTATTGGTCTCAGAGGTTGATTTGAACTCAGGATCTGGGTGCTGTCCCTGAACTTTTTCTGTCAAGACTTGTACTCTACCATTTTGAACCACAACTCTACTTCCATGTGTTACATTTTAAAAGAAAGGAGAATACAGCTTTGTGCACATTTAATAGTTGAAAACAGGAGTATTTTATATTCTTTTCAAGTAATTGTGGTTTTTGGATTTCACCAAGACTCACTAAATGATGATTTCTTACAGGTAATTTTGCAATGTGAAATCTGAAACCACATAAACTTTTCATACTTTGTTACATAAAAATCTACCCCCAGTTGATTCTCAGTGCTTTTTTTTCTCTTTTTTTTGTCAGTGATGGGGCTTGAATTCAGGGCCTGGGTGCTGTCCCTGAGCTCTTTTTTTTTTTTTAGGCTAGCACTCTACCACTTAGAGCCACAGAGCCACATCTAGTTTTTGAGATAAGAGTCTTGTGGACTTTTCTGCCCCAGCTGGCCTCGAACCATGATCCTCAGCTCTCAGCCTTCGGAGTAGCTAGGATTACAGGCTGGGTACCAGCTTTCAGTGCTTTTTGAATTACTACTTTTACCCATGTGCAATTTCTTATTATCACACATGGTTATTTGAATATTAACATAAAAATTAACATAAAATAATATTGATATAAAATAATTCTTATAAATGCAGCTGATCTCAGCAGAAGTCTTTTTAATTCTTTTACTTGGAAATCCATTGTGTGTGTAGATTTGTGTATATATATATATGTATATATATGTGTGTGTGTGTGTGTGTGTGTGTATAGATCTTGGGACTTGAACTTGGTGCCTAGGCACTGACCCTAAGCTTTTGTGCTAAGACTAGTGTCCTACCACTTGATCCACAGCCCAACTTCTGACTTTTTGGCAAAGTTCTCAGAGGCTTTCTGATCCAGGCTGGCTTCAAACAACAATCCTCAGAGCTTAGCTTCCTTTGGTAGCTAAGATTGGAAATCCATTTTTATTGAGAAAATACTGTCAGGATTGTTTTAATTAGGATTTTTTTAGTCATCAAGCTTGCTTTTTTTTTTTTTTTTTTTTGCATCTGGTCGTGGGGCCTGAACTCTGGGCCTGGGCGCTATCCCTCAGCTCTTCAGCTCAAGGTTAGCACTCTATCACTTGAGCCACAGCGCCACTTCTGGCTTTTTTTTTCCTGCTTATGTGGTGCTGAAGAATCGAACCCAGGGCCTCATGCATGCAAGGCAAGTGCTCTACCACTGAGCCACCTTCCCAGCCCCAGCCTGCTTTTTTATAAATCATTTTGTAAATCATATTCAAGGACATATCTGTCCCAAGTATAGTAACTATAGTTTGCCAGAGGAGTTTTTCCAGGAGAAATGGTGGTCCATGAACAATGCATCCAGTGCAGCTTGCAATTCCATCATCTAAATGATATCCCTCATACCATCATCTTTCTTAAGGAACATACAGAATATCAGTCAGGAATATAAGTATTCAAGGGTCAAAACTTCATAAAATAAGCATATTTAACTTCTTCCAGGATATTCTTTTAAATTTTATTTTTAAATTTGCATATATTCATTGTACAAAGAAGTTTCTTTGTGATTTGTCCATATATGCACACAGTTACCCTAATCAAAGTCATCCCATTTTATTCCCCTTCATCCCCTTCTCTCTTTTGAAACAATTTCAGTGGGAATAAGTTTCATCATAATGTTTTCATGCAGATAGATAGATGGATAGATAGATAAATAGAGATATCTTACTTCAATTATATTCATCGCCTCTTATATGTTCTCTTTTTGCTTTCCTACCTCCCACTGCTATTTACCCAAATAGAACCTATTTTATATTTCTGTTATTCATTTTTAAGGGCTAGATCACATATGAGAGACTTGTGAACATATCTTTTTCAGTCTAGCTTATTTTATAATAATTGCCAGTTCCATCTGTTTTCTTGCAAACAACGTAATTTTATTTTTGTGTTTGAGAAGTAATCCATTGTGTATTTGTACCAAATTTTATTTGTCCATCAATCAGTTTATGTATCCAAAGGAGTGCAAGTCTACATGCATTTGAAAGGTGCACACCCACACTGAAAGCAGCCCTATTTACAATAACAAAAACACAAAATTAGCCTACGTGCCCATCACCAAGGACATTCTTAAGCAACCATTGGTTCTCCTTTCTGTGATTATGTGGATTGGAGAATATAGGAGACTTAAAACATAACTGATTACTACTGCCTCAATTCAAGATGAAGAGTCAATGGTTCGAATCATACCTGCTTTTGTACTACTAGGGAATCTCAGTACAGTGAAAAAGCAAATGGATCCTTGATATTATTAAGAAAATAATTTTGAACTTGTTAAATAATCTTCCATTCAGATCATTAAGCCATTGAAGGTCAGTGGCCCATGCTGTGGGGAATGGCAAATGATGGTGTCATATGTAACTTATGTTCTTTTAAAAATTGATTTTGTTTATAATTGTTTGCTCTTAGGGTTTGAAAAATATAGGTAAGTATAAATTAAAGTATAAATTAATTTACATTTAGTAGTGAAAAATAAGTATGTATAGAAAAATGAGCAGTAAAACACCAATGGTAAGTATATGTGTCCCAGAAGAGGTTTGCATTGATATGCATATTTTACATTGTGCTGATATTACTTATTCCAGTGTACATCATTCTGATCTCTTACATGATTTTTGTCTTAGCCCTTACTTGCAATTTATAGTTTGAAAATGCTTACCCCAAATGCATATGAGTAGGGGATGTATTTCTAGTGTTAAAAATTCAAATGTCTAAATAAAGCTCTATTATATAGTCTACATTACTATGTACATTGTGCAGTAGTATTGTATTCATATTATCAGATATGCTATACTTAATGTGTCATTTAAATACTTTCTGAAGTAATTTTGTTTATATATATTTGGGTTTTAAACTTAATTTCTGTTTATGCTGTAATTCCACTTCATATTTTTCATGGACTTTTTCTTTCTTAACAAACAGGAAAAAAAATGTAAAATCTTTTTTTACAGGTTAATTACCATGCTGATCATTACCATCTCACTCCATTTACAATCGTCAACATTATGTACAACTTCAACAAAACTCAGGTGAGAAAAGTCTATGGATCCTATTAAGAATTCATCATATGTATTTGTACCAGATGCTGATGGTGCATACCTGTAACCTTAGTTCCTCAAGTGACTGAAGTCTAGATGATTACTGCTTAAAGACAACACTGGCAGAAAAGTTCCCAAAACTTTCCAAAACACTTGGTTTGAGATGTTGTGGAAGTGGTGGAGTACTAGCTGAGCAAAGAAATAAATGCAAGACCGTTAATTCAAACCCACACACTACCCAAACAAGAACAACAAAAACTGTATATTTGGGCTTGATGGTCAATGGCTTTTAATTTGGTAACACAATGGTAAAATTCAGTTATCAGTATGAATGTTCCAAATTTTCACTTAATTAGCAGAAATACAAAGCTTGCTCAAACTTAGCAATACATTTTCACTTTCAAGGGACATGTAACATTCATAGTAACAAACAGTTGAGATGATGATACAGTGAGATGCAATATTAGAAGTGCAAAATGCTGTCAGAATATAGAAGAGAAATATTTTATCCAAACTAGAGTCTAATTCAGGGTATGATTCAGGAAAACTTTGGGGAAAAGTATACCAAGTTGTATAACTATTATCAAGAAGTCTTCAACTGCTTTTTTTTCCCTTAAAACATACATTAGTTACACAGGGAGAGTAATTTCATCATTTAAAGGCAAAAGAAAAGGAGAGGTTGTAATGTTTTGGATTGAAATTATTGGCAATACAATAGGAACTTCGAACAAAAATGAAGAAGGTGTTAGAAAAGTAAAGATAATCCTGTAACTAACCACACTTGATCGTTAAAGCTACATTTTTTTAAAGCAATGACTAGAATATTTTGATTGTGGGGCAGTATCCATTTAAAATATTTAGTGTGTACACTTTTGATTTATTCATTTCTCTTGGAACTTTTTTCACATAAAGGTACATACAGATGTTTTAAAATGTGTGTGCAAAGATGTCATTATGTGTACATAATAATAAGAGGAAATTATGACATATATATCAACAGGCCAGTAAAGTAACTGCATTATGTTTACATGGTGGTATATCATGTAACTTTAAAAAAAAATTTTATTGTCAAGGTGATGTACATACAGAGGGGTTACACTTACATAAGTAAGGTAGTGAGTACATTACTTGTCGAACTTGTTACTCCCTCCCTTATTTTTCTCCCACTTTCCCTCCCTCCCAACTCCTCTCCCACCTAAGTTGTACAGATCATTTCCAACATATTGTCTTGTGAGTATCACTGTTGCATTGGTTCCCCTTTGTCCTTTGTCTCACCATTTTGTTGTTCCCTTTACCTAATTCACATAAACCTATATACAATATCCAGGGTACCAAAATCAAATACAGGGACAACAGGGGATAAACCATAGGGAAAAAAAACACAAAAGAAAAATGATATCACATAGTACATTAAAAACAAGAACAAGGAAGAAAAACCTCTTGTGTCCAAGTCTTGGAGTTCATTTCATTTAGCATCATCTTATATAATCATATGTACATAGCTATTGAGCTATTCTGTTCATCTGCTAGGATTATCCTAGACATATACTAATTATAAATGAGGGAAACTATGGGACCTATGTTTCTTTGGGTCTGGCTTACTTCACTTCATTTATTCCGTCTTTCCATTCCCTTACTAATGGGGTAATGTCATTCATTCTGATGGAAGCATAGAATTCCATTGTGTATATATATCTCCTTTTCTTGCTCCATGTAGCTTTTAAAAATAAAAAAGTAGTTTGTATGTACTGACATCGAATAATCTGAGGTTCTTTTTTTCCTATTAAAATGAACAAAATGAATCAAGAACATTTCTGTATTTTCATACATGCACAGAGTAAATAAATTCTGCTACGGGGCTGTGATCAAAAGAAATTAAACTTCTAATACTATTTAATTGCAATATGTTGATACACTTTTTACTAATAATTTGTAGATAAGTATTATTAAGTGTCAATAATGGTATTGTGGAAAGTCTCAGGACAAGAAATAATTAAATTAAAAAAAATAATGAAATAGATGTAATATTTATAGACATAATACTTCAGGAATGGCGGAAAAATAAAAATATTTGTGAAAGACTTGGCAGAATTTATAGGACTTGGTAATTGGATTAGATAGGAAAAGTGAGACAAGTGTTATGTGGATGTATATGATTTAGATTCTAGGATGATGTAGCTGCTATCTAGGAAGATCAGCAGTGCAGCAGAGAAGAAAAGACTTGTGGTGAATGGATATGATTGAGATAAGTCATAGATACGTGAGTTTTGAAGTACCAGTGTAGCAGCTAGCCTAATAGGGAATGTTGAAAATATATATAATTAATATACAGTAAATTATATTTATATTCTGTATGTTATATGTAATATATACATTTTACATAAATATATAACCATATATATTCAGCACTCCCGATTAGTCCCTATTATATGTTATGTAATATATGAGGTATTTAGTAAATCAATCATTAGGGACATTTAATTAATTGGAGTGTTCATGTATTTGAGGGGTTGTTAGTTGTGGGTCTTGAACACAGGCCTGGGCACTATCCCTGAGCTCTTTTTGCTCAAGGCTAGCACTCCACCACTTTGACCACAGTGGTGCTTTTGATTTTCTGGTGATTAATTGGAGATGAACTTTTCATCCTGGACTGGCTTTGAACCGTGATCCTCAGCTCTTAGCTCCTTAATAACTAGGATTATAAGAGTGTGACACCAGCACCCAGCTTGGAGTGTTTATCTTGGCTTAAGTATAGTCCACCTACCATTAAAATGTTTAGTGATAGGCTACAATATGATTCTTATAAGAAAAATTTATTAGGTTTCCATCAGAAAAACACTAGAAAGTATAAATATAATATTAAATTTTATTGCATAGCTGGGAGCCGGTAGCTCATGCCTGTAATGCTAGCTACTAAGGAGCCTGAGATCTGAGGATTGTGGTTCAAAGCCTGCCTGGGCAGAAAAGCCCATGAGACTCTTACCTCCAATTAACCACCAGAAAACTGAAAGTGGCGCTGTGGATCAAGTGATAGAGCGCTAGCCTTGTGCTGAAGAGCGCAGGGACAGCGCCCATGCCCAGAGTTTAAGCCCCATGACAGACAAGAAAAAAAATTATTGCGCATCCTTCTTTGTTTCATATTTAGAAATTAACAGGTATAATGATAATTTTTTTTTTATTTCAGGGACCAAGATCCCTATGGAAAGGAATGGGAAGTACGTTTATTGTCCAAGGTGTCACACTTGGAGCAGAAGGTTTAATTAGTGAATTTACATCTTTGCCAAGGTATTTTTATTTTGTCATTTTCTTAACATTTCATTTTTGTAAGATTCCATACCTTCTGAAAATACCTTGTTGAATGCTATGTAATTGAGAAAAATGATTCTTGTAATATGTATTGACATCCATGTTTCAGCTCCTGCCATATGATAGCTTACTGCTAGCTAAGGAATAAATAGGAGTATGTGAGCTATTTCTAGTTGTCATATAGGCTATTTGATTACAATACATTATGTGATTTGTGTTTCAATTAAACCTGTTTCAGAGTCCAGGGAATAGTTTACTTGCATTCCAAAAGCTACCAGAAATCTGAACCTGCAAATTATGGACCCTTTCTGATCCTTGTACAAGAATGAGAGAGTGATGATGACAATTACAAATCATTCATATGAAACACCTTGCAGAGTCTGTTATTTATTAGGTGCTCAAAAAAAAAAAAACCCAAACAGTAAGATTTAACATAATCATAAAATTAATGTCACTGTTAAAGGTGCTTTGGAAATTATCAGTAATACAAAAGAATGTGTTATTTTCCATTATGGTTACAGTAGATCCTTAGTATCTATGAGTATATGGTTCCAAGCGGATTTTGCACAGAATTTAGTGCTATACTGAGTTTATTTTTCCCCTGATGCAACTCAACTTCCATTAAAGACCTGCCACCTTTCTGCAAACCTGAAAATCTCTTACTGGATCTCTTAAGTATTTTTCGGTGCCCTTTTTAGTATATTACCATAATTTTTGCCTTGTTTTAGGGATACCATTTGCCTTAGGAGAAAAAAACATTCTTCAGATCAAACAACACTGACCATAATACAGAAGTGGCTGATAGCTTCTCCCAGTCAACTAATCTTTATAATACACTAAGAATTATAATTTTTTTCTTAGAAATTTCTTTTTATTAAAAAAATTTTGTGTGCATATTAAATCTGTGGTAAGGCAGACTTACAATTTCTTGTTTTTATATTCTCATGCTTAAACCTTTTGTTCCCTATTTTCTCCTAATCCTGTTTTCCTTTTTCATTCTCCCATTTGTGCTTTTCTAAACTTTTATATTTCTTCCCTTAATTTCACTTCCAGTTGGTTCTTATAGTCAGTTACAACTTTTTCTTCATTTATAACTCTTTCTTTTATTAGTACATACAGAAACACCTTTTCTTTTGAACCACAGCAGTTTTCTGAAATATATTCCAGAAAGGACAGTCATCACTATTAGAAAATGTTTCTCAAAAGGACTAGGAATGTAGTTCAATTGGAGCACCTGCCTAGCAAACTTCAGTACCTCCAAAAAATAAAAAGTAAAAATTAAGCCAGGTGTCGGTGGCTCATGCCTGGCTACTCAGGCAGCTAAAATCTAAGGATCATGGTTCAAACCCTGCGGAGGAAAGTATTATCTCCAGTTAAACCACTAGAAAAACCAGAAGTGGTGCTGTAGCTCAAGCAGTAGAGCACTCACCTTAAGCTGAAGAGCACAGGGAAAGTGCCCAAGTCCAGAGTTCAAGCCCTGCCCCCCCAAAAATTAAAAACTAAATTCTACATATTAAAAAATAAAAATTATTTTTTAAGTTAAGCTAGTTTAAGAATATTTTAAATAACGTGGATTTTGTATTTATTTAAATTCTTAAATTTTAGGGAGATTGCACATAAATGGAATCCTAAACAAATATGTGAACATCTTTTACTGAAATCGTAAGTATCAAAGGTAGCATTTTTATTGCGTTTCTATTAATTTTATAGTGTTAGTGCTGAAACAAGTCATTAATGAACAGTGAACTTAGAACAATGAAATATTTATGGGAATAAATCTTCAAAGGATAAGTAACAGTTTAGGAGTTCAATCCTGAAATACTGTGGTTTGTAAAATAATTTTCATTAGTTTGACTTTGTGGGAATCACACAAAATCCTTTGTTTGTTAGAAATTTTAAAAAGTTTTCAGTTCATTTAGCCCAAATTTTTCCAAGAATATTATTATTACAGGTTGAATATCCCAAACCTAAAATCTGAAATGCTTCAAAATTTTTAATTTTTGAGAACCATCATGATATCACAGTTGTCATGATTTTACAATACCTGGTCCATATGCCAGACCAGAGTCAAAAGGCAGGCGCACAAAAATATAAGTGCAAACTATTTTCAGGCTATGTTTGTAAATTGTATATAAAATATAGATTCATTTATGTCTAGACTTGGGCCCCACCCAGTTTTCTTTATTATGTGCATGGAAGAATATAAAATTTTGAAAATAAATGCAAAGTCTGAAATACATATGATCCTAAAAAGTTTGACAAGGGGTATTCAATGTGTATTTTATTCTTAAGCAGAGATGTATTTGTATGTGGTATTTGTTTATTGGTAAGGAAACACATACCTATAATGACATGAAAAATGTAACCCTGGGCTGGGAAGTTTGGCTCAATGGTAGAGTGCTTGCCTCGCATGCATGAGGCCCTGGGTTTGATTCCTCAGCATCACATAAGCAGGAAAAAAAAGCCAGAAAAATAGCATTGTGGCTCTAGTGGTGGAGTGCTAGCCTTGAGCTGTAAAGCTGAGGGACAGTGCCCAGACCCAGAGTTCAGCCCCCACGACCGACCAAAAAAAAAAAAAAAAAGTGTAACCCTAAAGGCATTTAGTGATTTTTTTTTTTTTTTAAACAACAGTTACCTTCTTTATAGACTAGAATCTTACTCCTTTTAAATTTTTTTTTAAGATTTTGAATTGAAAATCCCCCAGCTTGCTGGCTCCTTTCATGGGGCATTCCAGCACATTATTACTTGGTAATGCTCCATTCACCTTGAAAATCACTACTTAACCATGGTCTGGCCCATAAGGGTTAGGTAAGTCCCACCTTGGTATCATTTCAAGTGACTGTATTTTACAAGCTTGCAAAGTAATGGTGATGGAAAACAACTTTGCAAAACTGTACAATATTGTTTTTTAATAATAAAAGGGGGCTTTACTTTCATTAAAGGTGGCTAATAGGATGTCTAGGAAAAGACAATGATGACGATTAGAACAGAAAATATACGTAGTCAAACATGGCTAAAAGGCAGGCTACAGAGTATAAGATCCTAAATTTTAAGAATCAAATATATAGGCTTGCATTACCTATATACCAGTAGATGTCTAAACTTTGAGTCCAATAATCCTACATTATATTGGTTGAAAATAAAATCTATTTCTTTGCAGAGTTTCCCTGTGTTATTGAGTTTTTTAACCTCTATTTAATAAAGCATCCTATGTTACAGATTTTTGAGGTTAATATCTGTAAAGCAACAAACAATAGTTAAAAACTTTGAAAAGATCATTCTATCTTAAGCATAAATTATGTTGATACATTAAAGCAATATTTGCAAATTTAATTTAAGTAATTGACTTGTTTCAGTGTACTGATTAATTCTTTTTAATTTCTACAGCCTAACTTACATAGTGGCAATGCCTTTTTATTCAGCAAGCCTAATTGAAACAGTACAGGTGAGCTATTTTGTTTTAATTCCTTTAGATAAAGTTTTAGAGGATACTCAATGTACTGTGTTTATCTGATTGTTTAAATACAAAAATTTTCTTGAGTGTCCTTCATCATTACACATTTCTGGTGTGTATATTTCTCTTGCAACTTAGGCCACACTTACAGTTTTAATTCATTTTCTGCCTTCCAGAGGCAAGCACACTCTTTTTTCAGACATCTCATAATCCAGCCTGCGACTTGCTCTTAACAGAAAGAATATAAACTTTTTCCCTATTTATAACTCAGATGGTTATGGATTATCATAGGATGTTAATATTTATCTGAATGAATAATGAATAATCATAAAAACAGATTATATGGTGCCCAGATATAGTTTCTTCTTAAATACGCCTTCGGATGAACATTTAAAACTGTTGATGTGGTAAATGCTACCAAACTTGAATTTCCTGCTCTAATTTTAAATTGTTTGCTTGTTTTACTATTTCTGACCACATGGAGGCACTTGAAGTACATTGGATTAAATGTCAGATACTTTTTCACTGTGAGGTGAACGCAATTTAACTTGACTCATAAGCAAAAATCAACTGATCGTACACCTGACTTCTAGTTCCAGTATCAGTTACTCTAGCATTACTTTTTCTTCAGTGTGTTTGAGTGTCCTCTGTATTAAAAACTTCTACTAGATCAGCCTTTTCTTTGTATGCTTTTCCTTTTAGTTTCTTTTTAACTTTATGCTTTGATTTGTTGTTGTTAGAACTAACTGAAATTAACATCATGTGATTTAAATGTACTTCTTCCTCTTGTGTTTGACATTGTGTTCTTGATAAAACCTTTGTTACTATAGAGTTTAGTTATCATTTTCTAAATATTCTTGTCTTTAACAATAAAGGACAATTAATTGAAGGAAAAGCAAGTACCATACTATATTGTGAGAAAGTAACTTTTAGCTTGAGAAAGACTTAACAGAAGGACATTTCTCCACTTAAATTAGATCTGTGACTTTAAAGAAATTTTTTTTAATTAAATTTTATTTTATTTGTGAACATACTGTACAGAGGGGTTACAATTTAAAGAAATTTTTAAACCATACATTTTTTATTCATAAATTGAATTGAATTCTAAATAATTGAATTCTAAAAAATTAAATGTACTTTTCTACATGTACTCTTCACTGATGTTGATTTTCTCTGAATGTTTTCATACCCAGGCTCTATCTTTGTGTTTCCTGCTCCGTATCTGTTTGTTAGCACTCACCTTTTGAGTCTGTTTGCTTTTTGTGAAATTCTTTTCTCAGTTTTCTACTGTCTTGCACATCTTTTCTTTGACATTTCTTCTCTTATATTTTAAGGCTCTGTCCTTGGCCCTCTCTGATTTTAATCTATCCTTATCCTGGGAGAGCGCATTTCCTCATATAAATCTAATCTTCATTTCAGTCTCAATTTTCACCCTGACTTAAGAGATTACTTTTAGTTTTAGGGAAGATCCCTTCCCTATTATTTTTGTGAGTCTTTCACTCTGTAAAACTAATGTTATCTTCTTAATTCTAACATCAACAACTATATATGATTTGTCTATTTGTGCCCTTCAGTGTCATTCTTCCTATCTAGCTTATCACAATATCTGCTTTCTTCCAAGTTTAGTGATTCTTTGCCCTTCTAGAGAGTTCAGATCTTTTTCATAAAATTGTTTTCCTCCAAAACAAGGACTCTATATGAAGAGCACCTCCTTGAAGCTTGTGAACAAGAACTTCCTTCTAATTCACTCCTTTTTGTACTAGTCCTTGTGCTTTAGAAGTCCACTCTATATTCATGTGCAGGATTAGTGTGTTTGAGTTAGACCACTTACATCCATCCTGTTGGTGATTAGAGGATCTATATTGATTCATATTACCTAAGATCAACTTTACCATAATGTTATATCAAGATTTCTTTCGAGTTACCTTTTTATTTTCGTTTTCTTTAACTGCTAAATTTTTCTTTTAGTTCAAGAAGTATTCATTGAGTATCAGCCTGTATCAGACATTGTTGTAGACCCAGGGCCACAGCAGCAAACAAACAGGCAACAGTACTTTGCCTCTATAGCACTTATATGTTTTGGGGGAAGAAAGACTAATCAAGACACATCTAAGGTATCTCACATGCTGATAGGCCTTAAGGAAAGCAAAAGTAAAGCAAGGGAGGCAAATAGAATGTGTCATACATAGGAAGAGCAGGTAGTATTTTTTCAAGATCAGTAAAGGCCTTTCTACAAGGTAATATTTAAGTAAGGGTCAAAGGCTGAAAAAACATGGATATTTAGAGGTTCTAAGCAGAAGAAAAGAATGTACAAAGAGATTGTATCATATAGGTCTGTTCTTCAGACCTATATGAAAGGAGGTTGATATGATTGGCTCTCATAAGCAAGGGGTTAGCAGGAGATAAAGCTTTAGTGGTAACAGTGACCTGATGGCATAGGACATTTACTTCATTATAATAATTTGGCCCTTTAGAGAGATGGCAGATTTTAGCAAAACAGCTATGACTTTATTAGGATCTCTTTTGCTGTTTTGAAACTAGACTGGAGTGGGAAAGAGGCCACAGTATAGATCTGTAGGCAGCTAGGCAAACTCATTGAGTCTCATAGTTCAAAGTATCTATTTCCTAAGGATTCCCATGTTTTTATGTCCTTAGACCTTGGACCTTTCTCTTATAATCTAGATTGGTGCTTAAATTTTTGAATTCTTGGTGTTTTCCCCCAAGTTACTATTCCAACATTTCCTAAGTAGGTAAAAGATAGTGCGGTCCCTGAAGTTTCAATGGCTAACAGTCTTGGTCATCCTTGGCTCCTCCCTTTGATACACTAAACAGTCTTACTAGTAAGCCCTGTTGTTATCTGGTTTAAAGGCAAAATTGAACTAGTTGTATTACTTAGCTGTAGTCAAAGCCACCATCATTTCTGTATTTGAAGTGAAGTGAAGATGATACTAGAGTTTGAACTCAAGGCCTCTCAGTTGCTAAGCTGGAGCTCTACTACCTGAGTTATTCCTCTAGCTCTGTTATTTACTGGTTATTTTTGATAAAGGATCTCCTGCCTCAACCTCTAGAGTACCTAGGATTGCAGATATGGGCACTGAGCAATAAAATTAAAGATATGTATTATGTATGTGTGTATTTAAATATATATAATATATATTAGATTTTTTCATATATATATATATTTGACTGTGTTGAACTCAGTACCTTACACTTGCTTGTGCTTTTGCCATCCTTTGCATAATTGCCAGTGTTATTTCAAAACAAAGACATTGTGTCCATCTTCTACATAAAGCCAAGTAGTTATTCCCCATCTGACTAGAAGCCAAAGTCTATTCAGCAGTCTATAAAGCATAGTATGCCTTTTTATATCCTCTTCTACAGTCAGCAAGGCAGCCATATTAGCCTTTTAGCTGTTCCTTCTCTGGTTCGGTGCCTCTTTTATCTCTATCACAAACTTCCTTATTCTCATCCCCAAGGTTATAAAAAGGCAGGTAATTCAGATAATTCAGGTGAGACCAACATTTACTGAGTACCCAGTCTTTAGTATTCTTCTTTCAAAGAAAAGCTCTGTGCATAAATAATGGATAGTGCTAATTTCCATTTTCATAGACTGCTAAACTAATGCTTAGGACACATTAAGTACCTTATTACATAACCAATAATTAAAGGAGGCAAAATTTAAACCCATGCTTCAGAACTTTAGTCTTATACTGCCTGCCTAATCTTCATGCTGTTGCCTCTGAGTGCTGTGAAGCTTCTTCAGATTGAGAATACCAGGTGTTGTGGTGCTCTTTCTCTTTCCCCAGCTCTCTGCTTCAGTAGGAATAACTTCCAACTTCATTGCTGTCTGTTTTATGAGATCACTTTTGGAAAAAGGACCTAATGCCTAGATAACAATTGGAGCCTTAAAACTATTGATACTTTGTTTGTCAGTAAATTAATTTTAAGTTGACCTATATGAAGTTCCTTATTTATGGCAAATTTTTAAGTAAAATATTTATCTTTTTGTATTTTTATTGTTATTGTAAAGGTGCTGTATAGAGAGTTTGCAGTTACATAAGTCAGCTAAAGAGTACATATCTTTTTGAGTTACCTCTTCCATCTCTTCTCCCAGTTTTTCCATTCTTCCCCACCCACAGTTGTATAGTTCATTTTCAACATAGCGTATGATGAGTATTACTGCTGCATTTCTTCACCCTTTGTCCTACCATTTCTGTGCCCCTTCTTAGCCTCCTCAAAATAGATAAATGAACAAATGAGACAAATGGAAAAGAAAAGAAAAACATCAACAAAGAAAAAACTTAGTTCCTATTTCCTGGAGTTCATTTCAAAAATATTATTTTATACGATCAGATGCATAGCTATTGCATGTTTGTGATCTCCTAACCTCTTTTGGTCTCTCTGTATATGAATGTCTAGAGACCCACATAATTTATCATGTCCAAGTGCATTGTTTTTTACCATCTAGTGTGTTTATAGATTTATAGACATATTCTAGTTACCACAAAAAATGGAAACCATGCAACCTATGTTTCTCTGGGTCTGGCTTACTTCACTTAATGTAACTTTTTCTAAGCCTTTCCATTTCCTTATGAATGTTACAGTATTATTCTTGTTGATGGATGAGTATAATTCCATTGTGTATATATACCACATCTTCTTGATCTATTCATCCACTGATGGGTATCTGGGTTGATTCCATATCTTGGCTATGATAAACAATGCTGCAGTTAACATGGTTGTGCTGGTTGCTTTAGTATGCCCTTGTTTTTTGTGGCAAACTTTTTTAAATTGTTTGACTTAATTCTTTTCATTTCAGAGTGAGATAATTCGAGAAAATTCTAGCATACTGGAATGTATTAGAGAAGGAATCGGAAGAGTACTAGGCTTGGGAGTGCCTCATAGCAAGCGACTCCTGCCACTTCATTCCTTGATCTTCCCTACGGTGCTGCATGGAGTTCTTCATTACATCATCAGCACAGTCATTCAGAAGTTTGTCCTACTAATTCTAAAGAGAAAGACTTGCACTAGCCACCTAGCTGAAAGTGGTTGTCCTGTACAGTGTATACTGGAAGCTTATTTTCCAGAACTTATTGCTAACTTTGTTGCCAGTCTTTGCTCTGACGTAATACTTTACCCACTGGAAACAGTTTTGCACCGCCTTCACATTCAAGGAACACGCACAATAATTGACAACACAGACCTTGGCTATGAAGTGCTTCCAATTAATACACAATATGAGGGAATGAGAGACTGTATCAGTACCATAAAGCAGGAGGAAGGAGTGCTTGGTTTTTATAAAGGGTTTGGTGCTGTTATGATACAGTATACACTGCATGCAGTTATCCTGCAGTTTACCAAAATTATTTACACTGCACTTCTTCAGAATGCCGCTTGAGATTTAGGTTCTATCACTGCTTAGTAGAGAAAACATAATGTGGATAATTTGCCATGAAATTATGAGGGATAAAAGCAACAGACTGAGTCAAAAAAGTGGATTGGAAAGGGAAACTGGTAGACAAAGCCCAAGTTGATTAAATTGACTTTTATTTCTTTTGAAGTATACCTATATATTTTGGATCAAAATGATTCCAAACTTCAAAACTAAATAAAGATAAGACTGTGAAAGAATTAAATTTTAATGTAGCACTCATGCTAAAGCAAAATTGTTGCTGGGAAAAAGCAAATATATCATCATTAAATATAAAATGAAATTTCATTGAATTCAATCTATTCTACCGGACTGTAATATTTGTTACATTGATTTTTACCTTATGGATTGATTTGGGTATGTGATCCTCAATACAGTATAGTATCAGGAGGCCTTACCTTTAAGCAAATAAATGATGTCATCATTGGAAAAAAAAAATCTAAGGATCACATCTGGCAATATGTCAGCAGGAATCAAAGAAGTTTAAATTGTCCCTATAAAGCTATTTTAATGGCTTGTATATATGTATTATATGAAGCCAATTGTGTGCACAAATATAACTTGGAATTCTGTACTTGTAGATAAACATTACATAATAAGAAATCATCTGCTTTAATAACAAAAGCCAAGAGGCCCAAATGATTTAAGTCAAATATAGTGTCCCCATCCAAACTGAGTGTTTCAGTGCCAGCGTCATACATTTGTGCAGTTTTATTTGCTTAGCTAGTAATGTGACATGTCAGACTACTTTTAGAGCCACTCTTAAGAAAGTAATCATGACAACTATTACTGTTTCCATATTTACAAATTTGTGTACTTAAACAAACCTTACTCGCCTTTTGTTTCTGAATGACTTACCTTAGAGGAGACAAAATTAAATTTCATCTGGAAATTTGTGTCTCTTGCCTTCTATAATAGTCATCATAAATAATGGCTGCGATTTTTTTCTTTCAGTTTTGCCTACAGTTTTATTCTCCATACTAGGTATGCTTACATAAAAAAAGTAAGGTATCTTGATCACTTTTTATTTTTTAAAAGTTTAAATGTTTGGATGAATGCTAAAAAAATACAAACATTTTAAAGAAATTTGTCTTTGTGTTTTGTTGGGGTTAGGGGAACACATTTCAATAAATGAGCAAAAAAAATTGCTTAATATTTTTTATTCCTACATTGCATTTGGTGGATTAAATCCTGTTTAACTTAAGTGAAATGACATGCATCAGAATGATCCATACTTAAATGTTTTCCAGTTTCATTTCTTAATGAGCATAATCACAGTGCACCTCAGCACTCTGAAGAATAGTGAGTGACCACAGAGACACTGTCCTACCTAGAGTGTACAAAAGCTCAAGTGTGTTATTTGCTAAGTGATTGATAGTTCTGAAACAAGAAAGTTGACATTTAGAGGTGTGAAAAAATATATAAGTAGCAATTCTCACAGCTGTCTTGTGTGTCTGCTTACTATGTGTTTCCCACTTTGAAGTTTAAATTGCACTGAGGGAAAATAAATGTTACTGATCACATTTTGTATTTTATGATTGATCTTTTAGAGTGTTTTACTTTGTCTATGAGATTTAACTTTTTTTGCATTTGAACTGCTGTGTAATCTTTTAAGTATTTATAATAATCTGCTTCCTATAAGCCTTATTTTTATTTTAATCAAGGTGACTTTGACTTCAGAGAAATATTAAACAAAATTTTCAATTTTTAAAAATTTCTAGAACAGGGGCTGGGAAGGTGGCTCAGTGGTAGAGCGCTTGCCTTGCATGCTCGAGGCCCTGGGTTTGATTCCTCAGCCCCACATAAGCAAAAAGGAAAAAAAAGCCCGAAGTGGTGCTGTGGCTCAAGTGGTAGACTGCTAGCCTTGAGCTGAAGAGCTGAGGGACAGCGCCCAGGCCCAGAGTTCAGGCCCCACGACCGGACCCAAAAAAAAAAAAAAAGAATTTCTAGAACAATCTGAGTGAAATCAAGTAGTGATATGAAAATCAGTGAAAATCTTCAAATAGCTAAAACTTAGATATTTCGAGATTATTTCAAGGTTATGCACTATATTATTACCATAAATAAATACAGTTACATAATTTTTTATGTAATTTTTCTGATGTAATCATCAGATTGATAGGCTTAGTGACACATGTCTTAATTTGGAGAAAGAATACAAATTAACATGAAAATAAAATTGAAAAGTGTTAAGTAAAACAAATTACTGTTTTTCCAAAATAAATATAACCTTTGAAATTCAAGCACTTAATAATTTAGCCACCCATTTTTCAATGAATTTAGAAACTAAAAGCAGTAATCATCAAATACACTTTTTTCCTTTTAAAAGTTGTTTCTCTTTTGTATGGATGCCACAATTTGATATCTATAGAATAAATCTCAGGATATTAGATGAGAGTATTTTTAATTTAGTAAAAGTAATAGCTTTATAGATATCATTCTATTAATATTTCCACAGGTCTAGTGGTCCTCTTATGGACCACCTTTGGACATGGGGTTTATGATGTGTTTGCCTTACATTGTAGGTTTCTTAGTTTGAATATAATAGCCTGAAAGTCATTGAATTAAAAATTGGTTAAAATTAATCTATTTTGTCAATGTATGAATTGATTTGCTAAGTTGTGTATATAGTGATTCCTCAGATGTTCTCTTGTGGGCTTCTAAAAATCCCTAGGTTAATAAAGTTATTTATTCAAGACTACAGATTTCTAGCATTAAATGGTATAAAATGGTAAAAGCAAGTGAATTTGTAAAGTAATAGATTGGAGTGCTTGGTAGCCACTGCTTTTAGAACCAAAACTGGAGAAATAAACGATCTTTGGGGGAAAATCCTTTGCTGGTTTTGAAACTGAGGTTTTATATTTGCTTGCCTTGTGCTCTACTATTTGGCCACGCCTCTCCTTCCCCCACCCCTCCCTTTTTTCCTCTCTCACTACTTTTTTTTGAGATTGGATTTTGCTTCCTACCCAGTCACCTGGTCTATGTTCCTTCTATTTTAGGCTTCCTGTGGTAGCTAGATGCCACTATGCCCAGCTTTGTCCACTGAGGTAGAGTTTCCTAGCTGCCCAGGCAACTGCAGTCCTCTTATTCTTAGCTTCCTGCAACTGCAGTCCTCTCATTCTTAGCTTCCTGCAACTGCAGTCCTCTCATTCTTAGCTTACCAAGAAGTTAGAATGGCAGGTACATACCACTGTGCCCAGCCATCAGTTAACCAGGGGTCTTACAATCTTTTCCTCCTGGGCTGGCCTCAAAACAGTCCTCAGACTCCCAACTAACTAGGATTACAGGCATGAGCCACCAGTGCCTGGCTTTTCTTCCTTTCCTTTCCTCCTTTTTCTTGATTTGTTTTTGGGAGGTTGTGGGAGTGGGTAAATTTGGCCTCAGCTTCCTGACTTCTGGAATTACCTGGCTAAGGCAAAAAATCTCGTTCCCTTCTCCAGATCTGCTTGACTACTCATAACTGTCTTTTCAACACTAACATTGTTGCAGCTGCAAAAGCATTTACTCTTATTGGTTGTGCACAATATTTTAAAAAGTTTTATTGTTATTATTAAGGTGTTGTACAAAGAGGTTACCATTTCATAAATCAGTCTTCTCCTCCCATCCCTGCTTATAAGTTGCATAGTTAATTTTTCAGTGTTCATTCTTCCTTACAATATTGAAATATTAATATTTCAATCCAACTATTCATATATCTACTCAAAAAATGCTGATATCAACCGAAATTTTCAAAGGTATTTGCACTCAGTTTTCTTATGGGGCCAGCTGCTGAAAAGATCCAGGTTTGAATCATTTTCTAAGAATATAAGCAAGTAAAATTTCTTGGTAACAACATTGCACTAGAATTTGACTGATACTTTATGTTGGTATTTCTTGTTTTTCTCTCTCACTATATGTGTGTGTGTGTGTATAATTGTTTATTGAGCCAAAATGTATATAGTTGTATGTTGAGCCATTGAATATCATTGATGGATGAAGTACCAAGTTGTGTGGCAGAGTAACAAATACCTTGTGATTTGACACTGATTCTTATACAAAATTACCTCAATCAGAGGAGGTGTTTTGTCTGTCTTTTTCTGTTGCTTAGGTCTCACTGGCATTTTAAATGTTTTAGTAAGTTGTTTAATATGAAAAGTTCAATAAAATATTGAATTAAAACCAATGTATTTCTCTTATTGAAGATATAGGACTACTCAGGAGGGTGGTTAAAGTATTTTTCAGAAAGAAGGAAAGATCGAGAAAAATATGTGTGTGAAATTAAACTTTTTTCCACCAATTAAAAATCCCTCTAAAGATTTTCATATTTTATTTCACAATGATTTTTACTATGATGTTTGAAGTAATGCTGTTTGATCTCATGCTATTATTTCTCTAAGGAAGAAGTTTGTGACTTGTCAGACATCAAGCAGTTGTCCAAATGACAATGGCAAAGGGGCAAATTCCTTCAGGAACTAGAAAAAGAAATCCAAGCAGAAGGAAGGAATGAAGATGAGGATACTGATGACTAAATAATAAGATAATGAAAAAACTGATAATGAAAAAAATGAAAAAAGATAACGAAAAAATATCAGTAAAATTGACCACTTTTTAGCTAAACTGCAAATGAAGACTCATGACTAAATCACAAATTAAGGGAGTGGCCATTGTTACTGACTATAGGAATAAAGACAAGAACAGTATAAACTATATGCCAAAAAATGGGTCCACCTGTATCCCTAGTTAAACGATTTGTTTTTCCCTTCCCCTCCACAAATTATACCAACATCAAATACAGTGAAAGCAGGGGTTATACCATGGGTGAGGGACATTTGAATACTTACCTTGGGGTTCATTTCACCTAACATCAACTTATCTGACCTTTTCTGCTTGTCTCAGACATATACTAGTTATTGCAAATAAGGGAAACCATGGGGCCTATGTTTCTTTGGACCTGGCTTACTTCACTTAATATAATTTTTTCCAAGTCTTTCCATTTCCTAACAAATGGAGGCATAGAATTCCATTGTGTATATATACCACATTTTCTTGATCCATTCATCTACTGAGGGGCATCTGGGTTGGTTCCGTATTTTAGCTATGGTAAATAAGGCTGCAATAAACATAGTCGTGCTGGTAGCTTTAGTATGGCCTTGCTTGTGATCATTTGGGTAAATGCCCAAAAGTGGGATTGCTGGGTCATAAGGGAGCTCTATGTGGAGTATTGAGGAACCTCCATACTGCTTTCCAAAGTGGTTGAACAAGTTTACACTCCCACCAACAATGCAATAAGATTCCCTCTGTCCACATCCCCTCCAGCATCTGTTGTTATTGGAGTTCTTGATTATAGCCATTCTAACTGGGGTGAGGTGGTATCTCAGTGTTGTTTTGATTTGCATTTCTTTTATGGCTAGAGAGGTTGGCCATCCTTCTTTCCTCTTCAGAGAAGTTTCTCTTTAAGTCTTTAGCCCACTTATTTATTAGGCTGTTGTTTCTTTGAGGATTTGTTGGGGGATTTAACTTTTTGAGTTCCAGGTATATTTTAAATATGTCCATTGTATGGCTAGTGAAGATCTTCTCCCAATCTGTGGGCTTTTTGTTGATCTTGCTAGCTATGTCCTTTGCCATGCAGAAGCTCTGCAATTTCAA